ATGCTGTCACAACATCCATAAGATACATTTCAAGATTTTTAGATACCGCAAGACTCATTAAGAATTTAAATGTAGTTGCATCCATAACCGGAGAATAAGTTTCTTCATAATCAATTCCCAGTCTTTGAGAAAATCCTTGGGCAACAAGTCGGGCTTTATATCTTGTTACCTCATTTTTCTTATTTCTTTTTCTCACAAAAACCCATTTGTACCCAACCGGTTGTACCTTTTAGGTGTTGTGACAATATGTCCAAAAACTTTTTTTTTATTGAGGGAGATCAATTTCGTTTCTATGGCCATTTTCCACTTCTCCCAATCAGATCTTTTCTGTCATTCTAATATGGACGTTGGATCTGGATCATCACTTTCATATTCAATTTCTTTGCATACAGAGAATGAGAATATTCCATCATTATCTTCTATTTGATCTATAGCCCATAATATCTCATTTTGGACGTAATTAATGGAAATCTTGTGATTTTTTTCGTCATTTTCATCTTCAGCACCGTTCTCTGTATGTGGTTCTTCTGGACCATTTTTATTTTGTTTTCCCAATTTCTTTTTCTTTCGGGGATTTTTATCCTTTGAGCCAATCGGTCTCCCCCTCTTCAACTGAGCTTTGGGTTCATTTGATATTTTTCCATCATTTTGTTCTTCCGGAACATTAATTTTTGATGGAACATTTGCAGCGGGTATATATGACTTTGTCACCCTTTTCGTATCTGTGAACGCATCTGGTAATTCATTTGCCATATTTTGTAAATGGACTATTTTCTGAACTTCTAGTTCACATTTTTTGTAGGGGATCAAGGTGCAACAAGTATGGTGTGCACCATGTAACATCTTTTGGAAATTCTTTAATTCCTCCCCCTAACGCTGGAAATTCATCTTCATTAAAATGGCAATCGGCAAAACGTGTCGTAAACATATCACCAGTTTGTGGTTCAAGATACCTAATTATACTTGGTGATGTATAACCGATATATATTCCCAATCTTCTTTGCGGTCTCATTTTAGATCTTTGTGGTGGAGCTATAGAAACATAAACCGCACACCCGAACATACGCAGGTGGGATACATTTGGCTCATGGCCAGATGCTAATTGTATTGGGGAATATTTATTATACGAACTCGGTCTTATCTGAAGCAATACCGCTGCATGCAAGATAGCATGACCCCATACTGAAATTGGGAGCTTTGTTCTCAATATTAACGGTCTAGCAATTAGTTGTAACTGTTTAATCAATGACTCAGCCATGCCATTTTGTGTGTGAACATGTGCAACAGGATGTTCAACATCAATTCCCAATGACATACAATAATAATTAAAAGCTTGGGAAATGAATTCACCAGCGTTATCAAGTCTTACTTTCTTTATCATATAATCAGGGAACTGTGCTCTCAACCTGATTATTTGGGCAATGAATCTTGCGAAAGTCGTATTTCGTGTTGTCAATAAACACACATGTGACCATCTATTGGATGCGTCAATTAATACCATAAAATATAGAAATGGCCCGCATGGTGGATGAATAGGCCCACATATATCACCATGTATTCTCTCTAGGAATACTGGAGATTCATTCCCGATTTTAGCTGGTGATGGCCGAGTTATGAGTTTTCCTTGAGAACAAGCATTACATATAAATTCTCTCGATTGAAAAATCTTCTGGTTTTTCAACGGATGGCCATTAGAATTTTCCACAATTTTCTGCATCATGACTGAACCAGGGTGTCCTGATCGTTCATGCCAGATTTTGAATGTACTTGTAAACTTCGGGTTTACCGTAACATATGATTCAGTCATATTTATCTTTGTGGAATATATTTCGGAGAATAATGCTGGTAATACTTCTAGTATAACTATTCTCTGCGAAATAACTGATGTAATGCAAAGATATTCAATGCCATTCTTATTCATAGTTTCTATGTGATATCCATTTCTGCGGATATCTTTAAAACTTAACAAATTTCTGTAAGATCCGGGGGAATATAACGCATCATTTACTTCAAATATTGTTCCTTTTGGCATTGAAAAACTGATTCTTCTGGAGCCCATAATAATTTTTGCATTACCAGATATTGTATTCATGCTTCCGGCGGAATCTTTCATTTTAAGAGAGGAAAATTATTTTTTATCTTATAATATTGTGTGCGTTGTAGCACTGTCTGCCAGAAATATTCTCCATCCTGGATCTTAATCTTTGATATTTTCTGAATTCAAGATATTCATAAAAGATAAATTAATATAGCAAAAAAAAATAGTTTATATTACAATAAAAACCTTTTTTACAACAAAAAATACATTTTTAAACACTAGATTTTACATTTTTATTTTTCTCACTATATATACATCATGTCACATCTTCTTCTTCGGGAAGATTTTACTCGTTTTGTTTTTCGTTGATATCTTCGGGATCAACCATGAAATCAGATATATCGAGATTTGTGTCATCGTTTATACCATCAAAAGAAAGACTGGATTCACCATGGATGAAGTTGGTTTCACCTTCTTTTCCTTTCGCCTTTTGCGATTCTTGGTACAGATCGCCTAAATGTTTCGGCGTACGATAGGTACGGAACCAATGTCCTTCATGCCACATCTGTAGCAAGCATTCTCATGTTGCTTGCGACCAACTTCATTACCTTTAAACTTTTTGTTATTTCTTCCATCGTTGAAATTAGCAAGACGGAATTTTCTTCCTCGTCCATGTCTTCGGCCACATCCAAAACCTTGCCCACGACCACGATCATTTCCGCGACCGCGTCCACGCCCACTTTGCCAATTCTCATGGCTTGATGTTGCAACATTCACTTCTAGGAATGGAGCTGATCCACTTGGACGAGTTTGATGGTTTAAAATCACGAGTTCATTATTTTGTTCTGCCACCAAGAGAACTTGCATTAACTCTGAATATTTCTTGTATCCGTTTTCCCGGTATTGCTGCTGCAGGACTACTTTTCCAGGATGAAATGTTGAGAGAGTTTTCTCAATCATATCATGATCACTTATATTTTCACCACATAACATTATCCCGGAAGTGATTCCAAATAGAGCGGATTTATACTCACTAACGCTCTTATAGTCCTGAAACCGGAGGTTCAACCACTCATGTTTAGCAGTTGGTAAGATCACATATTTCTGGTGATCAAACCTATCTTGGAGTGATTGCCAAAGATCTGCAGGATCTTCTTTCGTGATATATTCATCCTTTAAACCATCGTGGATATGGTGGAATAAAAAAGATCATGGAGTTGTTTTTGTTTTATCGATGGTATCAAGGAGCTGATTTCCTTTTAGATGCATCCTTGCAGCTACTGCCCATCTCATATAATTATTTCCAGAAATATCAAGGGCAGTAATCTCGAGTTTTCTCAAATTCGACATAATAACTGTAATCAATATAATAATTTATAAATTTGGTCATAATCTAGTTTTAAAAATTCTGATTTTAATAAAATTTGATAAAATTTTAGAATTCATAAACATAATAAAAACTGAATTTAAAAGATTGAATTTAAAGCAATAATAAACAGAAATTAAATAACAATAATTAAAATAAATATTCGTCTTCTGGACGAGATTTATTATGCAATTCTTCAAGAACGCTTTTATATATTTTCTGGATATATATTTTTTATATAGTTATTCTGGAACTTTTTTTTATAAGTCTTCGGGACATTTTTTTAAAAAATATGTTTTTTGGACATAATATTTTTTTAGTTCTTCAGGAATTTTTCTTAAATATCTTCGGGACATTTATTATATGGAGGTAATGATCTGATGAGACAACTACCATATGATCATAAACCAACCATATATTTGATTTAAAGAGACATAGTCTACCATATGGTAATGATCGTAAATACATAGCCTCCATAATGATCGGTTTGAATTAAACATAAAAGTAGACAGATTGAACATAAAGTAAATCTCACTTTTTTGGTATATAAACGGTATAGGAACGGTTTGTGCTGATAACGTTTTATATATTATATGATATAATATAGGTGAGTGTTTATGTGTTTGTATATAATATAATATATATGTATATTATATTGTTTTGTTTAAGTGGAGAAGGGAGAGAGATGAGAGGGAGAGAAGACGTAAGAGAGAAAAGAGATTTCTTTCAATTATGTAACTTATGTTATTACACAGCAGAGGTGTCTATTTATAAACATAGAAAAAGTATACAATATTGTTCCTTTAATTATCCTTCCTTTAATTATTATAACAATACTCAATTTCTTTTTTGAGTTCTTTTTCATATCTATTCATCTCAATCTTCAATCCTTGTATATCTTCCTAATTTCGCCTTCTTTTTCTCTATTTTTTTTGTTATATTGTACTCTCTATTCTTGACAACTTGCAATCTATTTCCAATTGTTTGTTAATTGATATTTATTTTTATGTCTTATGGTTTTCTAGTTGTATTTGTTGATCCTTGACAAAGTTGTTGAGCTCGTTCAGGCTCATATCGCCCCAAAAGTTCTGCCCAGTTCACAAACGCGCAAAGGCAAAACTTAAGAGTACATATTAGCACATACTACTGAAGTCAAAATATATATATATATATATATATATATATATATTAGCACATACTACTAACTTTGTCAAATCCAGTCGTCTTCTTATTTATTTCATCCGTTTGTATTCTTCAATATTAACTAAGTTAAATCCCATATTTATTCTCGCTTCTTCATTCCAATCATTGTTCATTTGAACGGAAATCTAAGTTCTCTAATTTAATCTTCAATCCTTTGACGTTTCATAAAATCCTAGTATAAAACTCAACAAGCACATCATTAAATTTAAGTACAAATTCATCAAAATAGAGTTTCGTTTACAGAGCAAGTTACATGAACAATATATAAAAGGTTACATTACAAACCTCATTACTCATACGGAGAAATAAAATAACATTTGGTAGAAAGATATCTCCTGCAATAAGCAACGTAATTAGCCTCTAAACAAAAAACGTTAGAAGCTAATCTTTCACACCATTTCTTCCATTAGAATCCAAAAAGACAACATGTTACAAATTATTTATCACATGGAGGACGTTGCTTTAATCTCACTGTACACTTAAAAAGCCCTCCAAGAGAGAAAAAGAGAGATAGTTGGCATCTAAGGACTGTGTAAGTTCCTTAGCTGCTCAACAACATCAAGAGTGTTACTTAGCTGTTGATAATCCGACCGATGAAGAGCGTTTATTTCTCCCGAGTTTTTGGGTTTATCATGGTAATGTTTCTTTGCGGATCTACCACGAGGGCAATGACGGACACGGATTCTATGGTTTCTTGTTTCGGTAGAGAATCTTCCGTGTACCACGAGGACTAATATGGCTTCCTCGTCTCTTGTGTCTTCGCACCAAGAGTTGTGAGCGACACCGTCCACGAACTCTTCTACTGTTGGGAAGTCTTCGAGATGGACTGAGATCTCGGCTATTTGGTTTGGTTTGATTATTCCGGTTCCGGGAGACACCTGTGTAAAGAAAAAACAAGCATTTAGTCAAAATCGATACCGAGGATATTCTGAATTACACACGACATGATATACACAAAGGCAGCCAAAAGATTTAAGATTTCATTCTGGAAAAAAAAAAACAGAACCGATTCGAACCAAAATCTGATCTGAAAAACCAAAGAGCCGTAATAGGGTCAGAAACCGAGATACCGAAATCGAATCCCAAATGGAAATGAACCGAACCAAAACTTAAATTCATTTGGAAAAGTAAGTAACATTTTAATCAAAATCCGAAACCATACAAAACTTATCCTGTGATAGATTAGATTCTGCACTTGCGCAACTATTTTTCTATAACCAAAAACCCAAAAAACCAATCAAAAACTGGACTGAACACACATCCTCTAACCTCTATGGCTGATCTGATTAAATTCACAGCTATGGTGTCTATCCTAAGCTTTAGTGTACATCATTATAACTACTTGCGAATTGAACTCTTTAAGCTCCTATAAATCAAATAACAAACTAACTTTTCTAATTAAAGAATAAATGCGATATAATCGTTTAGGAAATAGAGAACAGTCAGACAAAACAATGAAAAGCCAGGCTGCAAGCATAAAAGAACAACTAACCTCTAGCCACTGGGGAAACCCGAAAGCGCTTCTCGCTCGATGGTCGTATGCCTGACCATCCTCCTCAATGTTAGACTGACCTTCACAAATGATTTTGAAGAAAGCAATGTTCTTCTCGCTCTTATTCGTAATACGCAGAATTGTTGAATCGTGATTTTGAAGTATTATGTTATTAGTGCTGACAATTGTTTCTGGAACCTTGCTTAACTCTCCAAGCATGACCTTGATTTTCTTATTCGTATTTATGATGTTCCCAAGTTCTTGTCTCCTGACTGATTCATCGACCCGGGCAATCTTAACGCTAAACACACAGCGGACGGGCTTGTGGTCACTGTCTGTTACATCCATGCAGGCATCATACCTTATAGAGAAAAAACAATTGTAAGCCTTAATACTTACTCAATTCGGATGTTTATGATCGTAAACATTATAAAAGGGTCACAGAAACGCATTATATATTCAAATCTGTATCTCGTGGACTCTACACCCAACTTTCTGATATTATAAAGTAACCTTAATATTTGAGAAATGCCATGTTTCTTGGCCCTAGAGACTCATGTATTTTAAAATCATACAAAGCCTGTTAAAGACTTTTGAAAACCAGAAACACAGATACAAATTCCTTTTCTCTAAAAAAACAAGTTCCTTTCACAAAGAAAAGTGCAAGTTACAAAATGTTTCTTTTCTGAATAATCATAGGCAGATTAGGCCAGAGAACATGAGAACTTAAGGAATTGAAAAGAAAAAAAGGAAGCGGATAATTTGTTATAGCCAATGATCTTAAGAAGCTACAAGCAATGCATAAGCTGAGGAATGACACTCTTCTAAATCTAATACTGATACATTTGGAAAAGTGAAATGAGCCAACCCCAAGTATGCTTTCTACTGTTAACTGCATGAAAACTACTGAATGAATCCAGGAAATAACAAGAAGCTTACTGTGATACAGAAGAAACCACTGGACAATCCAAACCGCAGTCAGCTCCCAAATGTTTCTTGCTATCGCGATATAGAATCCTATCACACCAGGCAGGAATCCGTCTCTTCTCCCCGGAATCATATCCTGCAGAAACACAGCTTCAATTGTCAAATATGGTTTTGGCAGCTCAATGCCTTAAAATCCGAAAAGCCCGGAAATAGTAATATTATCACAGATCTAGCTTCTCCCATTGCCAGAAACTGATGACCATATCATAGAAGCCAGCAGAAATTTTGTCGTTAGAGAAATAGTGTAAGCAACTCTGTAAAGTAGATGCAAGGCTAACTTCACATTCTCAACTTTTCAACTGATATGACATTTGAGAGAAAACTAAGACGTTTGCAATTTATCATGCTGTCAATTTTACTCTCTATTTTTCGGAAAGATTTGAAACAGCATCTTAAACTATGATTCTCCAGGAAAAATGGTATCAATTGGGAAACTAACGGAAGCGACAAAGAGGAAGGAAGTCACTGACCTGCTAGACCAGCTTGGTGCCTTTCAAACTTGTATGTTGGAGGGAACCTGATAACTGCTTCACGCATCCCTTGAAAAACATTCCCAGCTTCCATTTCAGCATGTAGCTGATCTTTTTCTCTTAGCCAATCAAAGCATCTTTGAGAAATGAAATCCCTTGTTTCATCATAAGTTATATCATCCAAGCGATAATTAAAATCTCCAAGAAATACGATCATGTCTGCCTCGGATAATTCAGGCCTTGCTTCAACTGTGTTGACACCCACAGCCTGTGAAAGTACGGCTCTTAGACTTTTTGAACGAGAATACACACTACAGTTTACAACAACTATAATAATCAAAGAAAATACGTACATTGCCACCACGAGGCACTGACACGCCAAATGAAGCACCAGCTGCAATTGAGGAGACCAATAACAAGAGAGACCAATGAATAGGCCAAAATTGATAAGCCAAGCAGGCAACAGAGCATGATAGAAATATATTTCGCAGCATACCAGCTCCTGGATTGAGTGAACTAGACCGTGAGAAAGCCATTGTTCGATAAACATGGTCAAAGTCGGCATTTCGCCGATTAACAGCTTCTAAGTGTGCAGCAAAATGACAATTAACAAAGCACAATACTCGATCATACATTCTGAGCCGCACACCGACAGCTCCCTATAAAGAAGAAAATTGTTGTGTCATAACAGAGATAGCATCAAGCGAAATAGAAAGGGGACAAGAACCACAAAAGTTACATCAGATAATGTTTGAGATAATCCTTTATTTTTACTGTTGATGATATTAGTGAGCCATACCTTATTACCAATCGCTCGTCCAAAACCACAAGGAACCGCAGCAGCGTCAATATCTCCCACGTGAGGCTTAAGGTCATATCTAACCCTGAAAAAAATGTTTTTTCTCTATAAGACTATAAATTATCAAGTTCACCCAATACTAAGACGAGAACTGGGAAAACAAAAGCCGCAGAGAGAAAGCATGCAGGATAAAAAACACCAGTATCTTTTTATTTCTCCTAAGCTTTAAGACCAATCGTTTTAAGAAATTATATAATAATCAAGAAATCTGAAATAAAATAATTCATACTAACAAGTTGTTCCTATGCTGTTATGTAAGAATCTATGTGGATATTAGTTAAATCGAGATTGAAAGGGAACATTTAGCATCTGAGCATCAAACGATCCAAATGAGCATAAATAACATGGAGTACTTCAACAATAAGAAATACATATTGTCTCAAAAAAAATGAACAGATATTAGTTATACGTACATAAAAAAAAATTACTAACCATACACATATGAGCAACCCTGCCAGCTGTCTAGAGCCAACACGAACAAACGATGAACCCTCATCCAAAGTTTTCCCAATCATATCCATCCACCACTGACCAAGTGGACTACCCTCAAGTCCCACCTGCATTTTCGAGGAAACAGAGTTAAGACATTCAGAAAACTAAAAAGCGCAATTTAAAAGGTTTTAAATTATAAAACGTAGCCCGCCTATGAAAAAGTTCATAACCAGATAGAGCATGAAAACAGAACGTGTGTGCGTCTGCATGTTTGAGAGAGTGGAGGGGCAGAAAAATTCTTTAGTTGAAATAGCATAAAAGTAAAACAGTTGCCACGAGGATTGTGCAAAATGAAGACCGATCAATTGAGGAAGTTGAGCAGATTCAGTTCATGATGTATACTATTCTCTGAAAGAGAGTAATCAGAGAGCTTAAATAGCATTGCTAGTGCAATCAGCCAGAACAGTGGCATACACCTTAAGGAATACATCTTTCCCGCCTAATAGTAGGTACACGACAACTTACTGTTTCTTTTGCTGCGGACATTGCAAGAACTCCTGCTCCCATTTCGACTTCTTGCAGTCCAACAACAACGATCTCAACTCCAGTTGCAGCAGAGCCTAACCAAGATACAAGTGAGTCGGTTGATGCCCTACCCTCCCCAACATTCCATGTACTCGCTAATATTTTCAGATTCTCAATCCTTGAATATAAAAATTCTTTCCCAGCCAACTCAGCCCGCAATACATTGTCAAGGGGCCCTGGAGAAGTAACATTCCATCCTCGGATACCTCCATGATTCGCAAGGGTAAATAAATAACCACCACCAATAGCCATTTTTATTACAGGACCACTATGAGCCACCCATCCTCCAAGCAGCTTTCCCTCAAGGTCTAATACCTGAACAATGCCGCTGGAATAACCAACCCACAGCCGAGAACAAAAAGTAAACATGCAGAGAATACCAGAAGACTGGTATGAGAACTCTTGCAAGCAATTACCATTTCCGTCCCATCGCATAAGGATGCCGTTTGCACTTCCAGTCCAAATCTGTCCATCCACTGATATAACGACAGCTTCAGTTCTCCTACTATCATCACAAAAACCCCCTTTTGTTGCAGCACGACGAACAGCATCAGCTGCTCCCATAAGGGCATTACGTGACCGCTGAAAGAAACCAAGAGAAGATTGAGCTTTCTCTTTCTTTGAAGCAGTTATCTTCATCTTCCCCTCTTCCTCAGTCCCAAAATCAGGAAATACAGAACTGTCAGTTCGGTTCTCGAGCTGCCCATCAATATTAAATACTTTGATCAATTCCCTTGTGCGAGCATCCCTGCCATGAAATGAACAAACAGAAAATAAGAAAAGACTAAGATATACAGGTAACTTAATGGGCGTGCCTGCTAGCAGTTGAAGAACTACAGAGCCCAATTGGAAAGAGTTAATGTAGAGAAAATTTTATTGTGGTAATGCTGATAGATTCGATGATCAATCTGAATCAGAAAGGCTGATGTATATGAAAGAAAACAAAACGAGTCTCCATTTTACCACAAAGCAAATGTCAGGGGACTAGCACTCCAAATTTTTGCCCTCGTATGATCAGATAGGAGGAACGTCACATCTGACGTTAATGTATTAGCAAATCCATTGACAGAAACCTGGTTCCTAGCGTCAATATACGATCTCTCTACTGATAACACAGCCATGTGCCTTTCTTCCATCGTCGAAGAAAGAGACTTCTCAAGAGCGTCCCATGGCCAAACTTTAAGAGCGCCTCCCTCAGACCCTGACCATATATCTCCTAGATAATTGATACCAAAAATGTGTCATGAGAGAAGGTTAAACACAATTAAATCATCCGCAAGGGTACCAAAGTTTATTTATATTTGAAATCGCTCCAACTTTGACCAAAGAGGATGAAACAGAGATGCCAATAGGCAGTTAAATGCTAAGTCAACCAAATCCTTCACCAAGGGAGATCAAGTACAGGAAGTTTCCCCGAGATAGTAAGTAACATTTCAAAATGAACTAAAAGAACCGTTCTCTATTTTAATTTCTCATTACATATCTACCAATTAAAAGAATCCAAAGTTTTTACTCGACAGGAGGGTAGGCATTGGACGCTGGAATGAGGAAAAATAATGACCAGAGGCATACAAGGCAATTACAAAAAGGAAAGTCTTGTAGACTCAATAAGCTATTCAATAAACACTCTACCCAGCTTGTCTAATGGAGCTAGAGGAGCCAAACATGCGTATTAGTCAGCAAAACAATCAGAATAGAGACTACCACAATAAGAAACTCGATGTTGACATTTAAAATCAATCTTCTTTCATCTTAAACGGCTATGTCTGATGTTTCTACTTCCCTTTCTAATCAAGTAAAATAAAAAAAACTTATACTCACCATAAGCCGAGATGACAATGGAGAGCACAGGACCACGATGAGCTTGCCACGACAAGGCTTCTTCAATGCCATGATCAGCTGTCAGTTTCCAACATCTAATCCTCCCATCTCTATGCCCACTCCAAACCACTCTACTACCTTCATCTCCGATCATACAAACAACCGAAGAACCAACCTCCATCTCCGGAGTCTCCTTATAAGGCGCCGTATCCTCCGCCTCTAAACTCCGTCCGCTTCCGTACAGTTCATCGAAGTCCCATACCTTCAACCCACCGTCTTCACCACCAACCCACAATTGTCTCTCAGTGCTAGTCATCGTCCTTAAGAACCGTCCGATTTGACTTTCCCTTAACGGATGTGGTCTAACCTCAAGACTCGGTGGTCGATTTGGATGAACTGCCGACCTAATCGGAACCTTGAAGATCCCGGTTCCTCCACACTTCCCAACGAATTCCGGCAGAGAATCGGATCCATCGCCGTCGCTCTCCGCTCCGATCCCGTCGAAATTGCCGTCTTCGCTTAGCCTCCGGTCGAGGAATTGGATCATGTAGTCGATGCGTTTGTTGCTGTCGTCGACTGAAGGACCGGAAGGGTGAGATTCATCGCCGGAGGAAGAGGAGGAGGAGTATGAACAACGGTTGAAAAGCGTGGAAGGAGTAGCCGTCGACGCAGAGAAGTCGGAATCGTTAGGAGTGGTGAAGAAGGAGAAAACGTCATCGTTTAGATCGTTCTGATGATCTCCCATGCGTATACTTCAGGAGTTGAGGTTTTACTTGAGAAGACTCAAGAGAGAGAGAGAGAGACGAAGCTGGTTGCTCGCTGGTTTCGTGTAGCCTCAGAAGATATTTTGTGAAACGAGAAATCGCAGAAAATGCTTGAAACGTGTTGCTATTTGCTAAGAACCTCTGGTTTTTTTTTAGTGGATTCAAATTTTATTATTTAGGGATAATAGTGAGATAACTAACAAGCTAATTGGCAACAAAATTGAAACTACTTGTTACTTTTCTTTTTTTTTTGGTCAATCAAACTACTTGTAGATTAACAAAACCAAATTACCAAACGATTTCGAGAAGTCACACAAATTCAGAACAAAATTATCAAGACGAATATGACTGATTTATTTAGGCTAAGGACATTTTTTTTTCCGGTTTGATCAGTCTGTTTATTCGGTTTATCATGTATTCAGTTTATCATGTATTCGGTTTTTGGTTTATTTGATTAGACAAAATAACACCAATTACCAAACGATTTGATTCGATTGAGAAGTCAATTTGATTGTGACTTTATAATAGATACCTTATTCTTTTTGTTCTTATAACATATGTTTTTCTAAGTCATTTTCATCAGTCTCCCTATATTTTTGCAGATACAGTAAGACTTCTATATATTAATATTGTTGGAACTATAATATTTTATTAATTTATCATGATATTAATTTATAGATAAAATTTGATTCCCGCATATAATTTTTAAAAAAATTCTTTAAAATAATATTATATTTTAAAATTTTAATAAATTTCATAGTATAAATTATGATTAACAATCATAACTATCACAATAAAATAGTTTTTAACACCGTATTCGATTATCTATGTAAAAATATACATCTTCATAAGTTTAAAATTTATAATAAAATCATGGCTACTATCAGTATTACAATACATTTAAAAACATTTACAAGTAAGAAAATTAATTATCACATAAAAAATCATCATAAATTTTGAATGTATATAGTAAAACAGCAATAAGAGCTACTGATAAAATAATTAGAGAGATGGAAACGAATGAAATTTCTAACTTTAAGTAAAAATAAACACATTAGTCATATTTTAAAATATTCTATTTACATATATTTACATAAATTTATATAATTATTAATTTATTTTTTTGTTGGGACCATATATTTACATAAGAATTTCAAAAAAAAAATTATTATCTTATTATCTTATCGAATTTGATGGATTATTACATTGGTCCGACTTGGGACCAGCAAAATTTATTAATTTATAGTAATTATTAATTTATCGAGTATTAATTTATAGAGGTTCTATTGTACATAAGTCAATCTCTAAATTATATACAAATAACATTCTGACCAAAAAAAATTATATAATAACATATTTCAAAAATACACAAACCTTTACAAAATTTATGGTGAAACAAATATGTTGTATGATTTCTTATATAAGTAGCAAAGGCCAAAAAAATTAAGGTAAATTTATTTTAAATAGGGTCATATGCCCTCCCTTACTATTTTATTTTTTCTCAAAAAATTTGAATTTAATGTTAAAAAATAAAAAGTGCCCCCAACTAAATTTTTTTGTTATTTATAAAACTAGGGTTGAGTCCGCGTTTTGCGCGGATTTTAGTTTTTTTTGTATTTTATATATTTTATATGCTATTTCTTAATAAATAATTTGTTTGATATTTTTTTAGTATAATAATTAATTTTTTATATTTGCCTTGTGTTAACAGTACATCTGTTATGTTCTGCTAGTTATCCTTATTAGTGTTTCTATATAACAATAAAATTTTATTAATTATATTATTAATTTTTGTTAATTTTTTATTTTGTGTATTTTTTATATTTTTTTCATTTCAATATTCATATTCTCATAGTTTGTTATCTTCATCTTTTGTTCTCATTTGTTACCATTAACGTCTTTGTCTTCATATTTTCTAAAATTTTCTTGTTCTCCTTGTTGCCTTTAATGTCTTTGTCATCATATTTTCTAAAATTTCTCTTCAAAAGCTTCATGTTCTTTTTCCTTTTTCTTTTTCAAATTCATTTTCAATTTATTCGACTTATATTTTTTTCTTTTCTTCTTCTTCTTATTTTTCTTTTGGTTTTTTTTTATCTTATTATTTTTCGTCTTCATCTTCTTTTTTTATATTTTCATTTATCTTCTTCCTTCTATTTTTTTATTTTTTTAATTATCTTTTAGCTTTTTTTTAATTATCATTTTTTCTAATTTTTTTAGTTTAATAATATATTATTTTTAATAAAATAGAAATATTTTTAATTTAGTTAGTATTACAAGTTTATTTAATTATTGATATCTAATTGTCATTTATTTCTTTTTTAACACTAAAATCCTTTTTATTATATTTAATTATACTTAATATACTAATAATAAATATAAATATATATGTATTAAATGCTTATTTATTTATGAGTTTGCTAATGTGGATACCTTAGATAGAGATAAAACTCTCCTATTATATAATAGATTATGTTCCTAATTAAATTTTTTCCTAGATTCGCCACTGTTTCGGGTCTAAAGAGATTATAGCTTTAGTCCAAATTACATAATGAATCTCCAAGATTTTAATTATCTTAAAAAGAATCCAACTGTTTGATTGCCTCAATCACTAGTACAAAGTTAAAGCTCAGAAAAAAAAAATTAGAGTAGATGATTTATCAATCAAATTAAAACATTGGGTCATATAGCATTTTGAAGGAATTCAGAAAAAAATGAAACATTTGGAACTTAGAACACAATACTAGACTTATTCTCTATGTATTAGTCTCTAAGTTCAAAATCAAGATTCAATCAAATGTATTTTGTGTTTAAGAATTCAAACAAGCTTGATTTTAAGTGCGAGAAGCTCACAAATTCATTAAATCAAATTTCATTGGATAGAAAAATACTCCCTCCATTTCTTTTTATTAGTTGTTTTGGTTAAAAAGAATGCATACTAAGATAGGTTTTGTTTTTTTTACATTTTCTATGAAAACTATTATTTATCGAGAACTTAATTAAAGAAGTGGAATAGTGCTGTACGGAGGAAAAAAATGAAAGGGAATACCAACGATCAAACGTTGAATTTTTAGACAATTTTACAAAATAATTTTGAAACCATCTTTTACATTATCAATTTAAACTAAAATTTCCAAATTTTACCATGGAGCCAAAATAAAAAACTTTGTAAATTATTACTTATTGAAGCCTCAAAATGAAAATGGTCTTTAAATCTATTTCATGGCTTTTAGTTAGTTTGGCAAAGAAATGAAAATCTGGGTTGATAAGAAAGTATAGCAACTTAGCGCTGGCTTTTATAGTGAATTAGAGAAGATTTGTTTTGTTGATTAATAAATCTTGTTGACTAAATGTTATATTTTAAATGGAGTATACTTTTTTGAAATCTTGGAAGCCAACAATAATAAATTATTGTTTAATTTTTTCTTATAACTTTTAATTAAATATTTATTTTTTATTTTGAACTTTGAAAACAACTTAGATTTATGAAACCAAAAAAGCCTTTCAAAACAACTAATAAAAAAACGGAGGAAGTATTGCTTATCTTAGGTGCACAATTAAGGTAGAGTTCTAAAACTAGATGCTCAATCTAACCTATAGTATGAAAATAAAAGTAGTTTTAGAAACTGCTTTTAAACACTTATTATTTTTAAATAACATGTTGCCAAACAGGTATTAAACATGTTGTCAAATATTTATTAAATTTATTATGAAATTCAAAATTAAAATTAAAAATATTTGAATCAATAACACCTAAATTAGCTCTTATTCTCATTTTATATTTTATGTATTAAAATATAGTATACAAAAAAAGTTTATCTCTCGTGCGAGAGCATACAAAATTTAGTTATAGCATTAAAAGCATCTCTAAGTTATAACTTTACTTTTTATTCCATTTTAAAGTAACTGAAAAATGGAGTTGGATTTTTTTTCTAATTAATTCTACTTTTTACTCAATTAGAATGATGAACAAAAAAAATAGAGTGAATCTATTTGTTATTCTACACTATTTCCAATCCGACTCCAAATACAATAATTAATAAGATTTCTCTTAACATGGAGTAAGACCATCTTCAATCCATACTCCAAATCTCACTTCAAAAATAGAGTTTAAAAAAAAAATTTCGCAAACCTCATTTTTGGGTGAGATATGAAATACTATTGGCAGATGGTTAAGATAACCAAATATAAATAATAATGCACAGTAAAAATTTATAAATTAATAATGTTGGGATTTTGATATTTTATTAATTTATAGAGTTATTAATTTATAGATTTCAAATAAAAAAATATTTCTTATTTTTCTTAATTTAAAAATATTTTTTTAAAAAGATTGTATTCTTTAAAAAAAATTTCCAAAACTAAAAGTGAATTACAAAAATTTAAAATAAATAAAAAATATCACGAAACTCATATTTAAATAGACTAACTTATTTATATATTTATATTAGATTTTTTTTATTGATAGTTATTAATTTATGATATTAGTGTGATTATATATTTACATAAGAGTTTTGTTAAAATTATTATCTTATTATTTTATCAAAATGTGTCATATTTTGAATCATTCCAACTCAGGGCTATAAAAAATTATTAATTTATAGTGTTTATTAATTTATAGAGTTTCTACTGTAGATATCTTTACTTCAACATCTTAAATCTATCTAATCCATTCCTTGAAACTCACATATGAAAGCAAAAGAGATGATTAAAGCAAATATGATTGTATTGCAACATGATTCATAAATTTTCTCAAAATTATTGACTTTAGGGAGTATAATCTTCTTAAAAGAAATCTAAACATGTCATTTAGATAATGAATCTGAATGACTGAAAATAAAAACATGGTATCTAAAACATTAAAATCGAGATGGCTTTGGAATCCTTAAAATTGGATGGGGTATTCAAAGAATCGGTCGACTAGACATGGATCATTTGATCCCTATTTTTCGGTGATTTTGTCCAAAGCAACTTTGGTGCGGTAAATCAATAGATTCAAGGGTATGATCAATTAATCGCTTTGCGGCTTTTGAAGATGAATGGTTATGCACGTCACAATAACATAATGGATAACATAATGGATCACAGCCTCGTGGTCGGATATTATCACTCTGTTACAAGACA